GATGTGGGGAGCTGGGGCCTGGTGGAGACAGCTGGTGTGTCTGGGCCCCAGGGTAGAATCCTCCTGAGTGGATTAATGCCTTCCTCATGAGTGAGTTCTTGCTTTCACAGGATTAGATTAGTTACCACAAGAGCGGGTTGTTTTAAAATGAGGCTGCCCCTCATATCTTGCTTCTTCATCACACACAGGTCTGCCCTTTCTCTGCCCGGAGTTGAAGCAGCAGAAGGTCTTCACGAGATTCAGACACCCAATCTTGGTCTTCCCAGACTCTAGAACTGTGAGCCTAAAGAAACCTTTCTTGTTTATAAATTATCCAGCCTGTGATGTTCTCTTCCAGCACCAGAAAGTGAATAAGATAAATGGGATGCTGTTTTAAACCTTTTGATGAAATTCTGTCACTTCTTGGTTATTAAGCCAAACTTGAACTCATAAAATAAATCTACATGGGTTGTGATAAACCTTTTTACATTCACCTGAATTTGATTTGCTAGCATCTTAATATTTTTTTAGCATCTGTTTTTGAGTAGTGTCTGGCAATGTGGTGTGTGCTGTGGGCGCTCAGGAGTGGTCAGATGGATAGACTTCTGATTGTACATGGGTCCAGCTCTGCGTAGGTCATCGTTCACTGAGGACTGGTTTCCCTCACTCCCCTCTGTTCTAATCCAGCTTCTCTTTATCTCTTGTCAGGGGCACTATAGAAAAGAGGCCACTTTCATGTTAGGCCCAGTGAAATGTGTTCAAGTTTAGGAGAGCTTTTTTGCGGGGTGGGCACTGGAGATTGAATCCAGAGGTACTTTATCACTAAGCCACACACCCCCGTCCTTTTTATTTTTTATTTTAAGGCAGGATCTCACTAAGTTGCTTGGAGCCTCACTAAACTGTTGAGGCTGGCTTCGAACTTGTGATCCTCCTGCCTCAGCCTCCCAAGCTGCTAGGATTACAGGTGTGCGCCACCACACCCAGCTGTGACTCCTAAGCCCCCATCATTTATCACTGTGTCCTTGCTCCATGCAGCTGGTCCCCAGAGACCCCCCCACCAACATTCCCTCTATGTGCTAAGCCCTTCCCCCCCACCTCCAGCCTTTGCTTCTGCTCTGCCTTTTCTGCTCTGGCCTCGTCCCTCAGGTCATCAGCAGTCAAAGGGCACCACACTGCCCCGTGTGCACGTCAGTCTCCCACTGAGGTGTGTGGGGGCCCTGGGGTCAGGGACAGAGCTTGATGGAACCGTTTACTGAATCCAAGTGATGCTAAGAAGTAGCTCTTCTCTTCCAATAAGATCCTTGTGCATTGGTCACCAACGTTTTATCTCCCTTGGATGGAAAGGTCCCCAGGTCCAGGGACAGTGCTCCCAAAGCCCCTGCGCTGCTTGAAATGGAGAGAAATAACCTACTGTGACCCTCCTACCTGGGCAGACTGCCCTGGGCTCCTCAGAGGGAAAGAGCCCTGCTGGTTGGGCAGACAGAGCCGGTGGGGACACTGCTGTCACATCACGGTTGGCTGGCTTGTCACTGGCTTACCTTATTCGCATCAGGGAAGTGGAGGCTGATGTGGTCCTGATTGGCCGTGTGCGTTCTCCTGCTTAAGGAAGGGAGGTTTGGAAATGCTAGCAATCAAGCTCTTGCCAGCTCAAATTCTTTTATTTGAAACAGCCTATTCAAGACCAAGCCATTCCCAGTCTCCTCTTTACTTACTATTCTGACGTTATTCCAGTTGCTCATCACAGTGGCCTCTGGGAAGCTCTCCACAGAAAACTATGATCTCAAGGTCAAGAACTGTGGTCTCAAGGTCAGGGAGCAGGTGGGCCATGCTCAGTGCATCGAGATCTTCGTAGCATGGGGACAGAAGTGGCTGGTGTCCTCCCCCCTCCCTGAAAGCAACAGGCTTGGCATCACTGGAAATAAGAAAAGAGGGGCTGGCAGGACTCCTTGGCTTTGGACTTGAGCATGCTGGTGATCGGACCACGCTGGGTCCTCCCTTCTCTGGAAATGCTGGGTTGGGCTGGGCACGGGTCCCTGGTCTAGGTTGTGCATTTTCACCATTATTGACCACCTCTCCACGGAGACCCCTTAACCAGGCGACCGGTGCAGCGGTTCTTGGCTCTCCCTGCAGGTTGGAATCCCCAGAGGAGGTTGAAAAACAGCCCTGCCCCCTCCCCTGCTGGAAATCATGATTTAATTGGAAGGGCCCGTGCACTGGGGACTTCGTACAAAGTATGTCATGTGACTCTGATGTCTAATCATATTGTGCAGTCCATTAAAAAGGGGCTTGAGAATTCTGGTCCTTGTCCTCCAGGAGTTCACAGTCTAACAGGGACAGGCCCATTGTCTCTGGTGGCTGAGTCAAGACTGAAGCCTCTGTGAGCTCCTTGAACTTCAGGGCCTGTGAGACACTTCAAGGTCAAGTGCAGAGCCCTCCCTCCCTCAGGGCGTGGGCCTGTGTGTGAACACGTGGGTGAGTGTGTATTTACTATCGCTGATGAGCTTTAGAAGCTCTTAGGGGAGTTAACACCCTAAAGCAGTGCTGGGTGGGTGAACCACAGAACAGAGGCTCCTCTGCTCCGGGAGGGGCCGTCACTGCTCAGCGGTGGCCAACATCACCATGAAGGAATGCGGCCTGGCTTTGCCACCTCTCCCTGTTTTCCAAGAGAAGTCGGACATCTGGTCTTCTTTTAAATGACTTGAATTTTCTTTGTCGGGATCAATTTTATTAAAACGTGCACACACATAAAGCAGGACAGCAGAACACACCGCAGACTGGAAGGAGCCTGGGGCCCCAGGTTGGAAGGAACCCGAGACCAGCCCCTTGTGTTTGCAGCTAAAACTGGGCATTTCCACCCTGTCGGGCACCAGAAGAGGAGTCAACACGGTCCCCTGTCAGTTCAGGGGCTGTGGCTGGGGGTGAGGCCTGGGGAGCAGAATCAGCTGCCCTGACACAAATCAATCGCCATAGAACCGGGCTTCCTGTTACCTGCTGCTGCTGCTGCTGTGTGTGTGTGTGTGCGTCATTGTGAGGGGTTGAAGTCCTTATTTCTTAGTGAAAGATGGCCCACAAAGGGGCCAGTCCTGAATGCAGATGACCCATGGGAAAAGCAAGAAGAGGGATGGCTTTTACCCAGAAAGAGGAAGCATTAGATGGGTAAAGAGTGAACCAGGAACTCACCAGGGACAGGGCGAGGCGGAGACTGTGCTCCCTGGTGCCCGCCAAATGCATTCTGGAACACAATTAACCCCTGCCAGAAATGGGTCACAAAGAGGGGGGCCAATCCGAGAACATGCCCTGGATGGGAAGCGGCCGGGTTAGGATGGAAGGTGGTCATGAAGCACCTGGATGCCTTCCACACCCTGGGAGCCTGGTGCACGTGTGTGAGACAGGACTCAGAGCTCCCAAGCCCTCCCTGATCACGGTCAGGAGCAGGAGCCCTTCTGCAGCCCGGCCCTGGCTGCCCCATCTCCTCCCAACATCATAGCCTTTGCTGTGCGTCTTGGGTCTCCCCAGCTGTGATCTGACAGGGCAGGGCCTGATGTCCCTCTTCATGTTCCCAGGACAGTGCTGGGGGCTTGCAAATGCCCAATGAGTACCTGAGGCGATGAAAGGGCAGGAGACCCTGAGGGATCTCAAGGCTAGGCCCTGGGCTTTGGGCTCCTCCCCCTGGGGACTTCCTGGGACTCGGGCACCCCAGCCCCAAGGGCATTTCCACACACTCCTGGTCCACGGGCCTTCCTGAGCCTGAGTGTCTGGTCCAGGGCCATGTGGGAGGTACAGGCAGGACCCCTGCTCTCCTGAGGCACTGGGCTTGCTGGGTAGAGGAGGCCACAGGGCAGAGAGGGGCTCCAGCCCAAGTGCTCAGCACAGTCCTGGGTACTTGGAAAGGCATCCTTGGGCTGGAAGCAGGAGCTCACTGCTCAGAGCAGGCAAGAGTTGGTGGGTAATCAAGGAGGACTTCCTGAAAGAGGGCCGATCCAAGTCAGATCCTGGAGTGGGTGCAGGAGATGGGGACATTGTTGGGGTGAGGGAAATGGCATCAGTGAGGCTAGGAAACGAAACCAAGACCCATACATGTAAGCTGGAAAGTGGTGTTGAGATGGGATCCTGTTAGTTGGAACAGGATGGGTCCTCAGTCACTGGCTACCTGGTCCAGCTCCCTATGCAGAGGAGAAAACAACCTACCAAGGTCACTTGGACTCCAATACAGGCTTCCTGACCTCAAAGACTGAGGCCCTGCCTCTGCCTGCAACTCCTACAAAGAGCTACCCCAAGACGGAGACCAAGCCCAGACTGAGGGTAGATGGGAAAGAATACTGCCCCTGGGGTCAGGTGCCACAAGTCTGGTTCTTTTCCCTTGTCCCCAGGAGGGGTGTCATCCCTTAAAATAGCAGTCTGGAAAGGGCCTCTTCCTCCAGGAAGCCTTCCTTCACACACCTCCCCCACCCAGGGTTGAGCTGTCTCGCCTTCTGAGGCTGCACTAAGAGGTCTCCCCTGGAAGGGATCCATCGGCTGGAGTATGGCTCCTGGAGGCTGGCAGAGTGCACGTTGCTGGCTGGTGTTAATGAATGAATGCAGAGCCAGTCTTGACCCTGACCCTCGCCTGACCCTGACCCCAGCCTGACCTTGATTCGTAACCTGCCAGAGCCTGGTGCTGCCTCACACTTGCCCTTCAGCAATTTGTATGGTTCTTGGTGAGGATGTACACTTGTCTGGGCCACATCCAGTCCCACCTCCAGGTCTACAGGTGGCCCATAGGGTTTGCCCTGCCTGCCCCTGGACCCCTTGGGCATCACAGCCCTGGCATCGGGAGCTGAGTTGGTTTTCTATGGTCATCCAGGGGAAGCCTGGGATCACTGGGGTCTGGGAGCAGCAGGGACCATACCCAGAGGAGATGAGGGGCTCCGGGAGAAGCTTGTCACGCCTGGCTTCTGTGGGACTGAGGACAGACCAGCCAGAGATGGAAGGCGCTCTCCTGCCCCTCCCCAGAGAACACTTCACAGCTGAAGGACTGAACTGCAAACTTTATTAGAAACGCTCCTCATTCATGGTCAAGTTCACATTGACGTGGGTGGTGGGGAGGCAGTGCCAACTGGGGCTCTGGTGTCCCACTGCTGTGACAATTTCCAGTTACCAAGGAGTCTGGGTGCAGAGCGTCTGAAACACACCAGAGATGCCGGACAGTGGGGGCAGCAGCAGCAGCACGGCTTTGCAGGGGGACAGACTCCCATGGGTGGCTGAGCAGGGCGCCCCCACATCCACCCTCCAGGTACCCGCTAGGTCCCAGACTGATAAATAAACAGCGCGCCACACACACGGTTGAAACAGGAAACAAACCTGTGGGACTCTTCTCAAGAAGTGAAAAAATAACTCGCTCATGGATGGCTTTGCTACAGCGACAGCCAGGCTGCACCGGGAAGGGTGGGCAGCCTAGAGGCCCTGGGAGGGCAGCTCAGCCCCAGGACCTCATCAGACTTGGGTGTCACAATGCCTCTGTCCCCTTTAGCACCTGTAGACTAAGGGCTGTCCTCCACACACTCCTCTTTTGAAATGCAAACACAACTTAAGATAATCATCATCACCGAGGCTAAACTGTCCTGGGAGAATCTGTCAGAAGCATCCTCCCTGAACAGAGGGGACAGCCGAGCTGCACCTCAGTGGGATGAGGGCGTGGGGGGGGGGGGCGAGTAAACAACGTCAAGAGGTAAGCAGGAGGCGTCTAAAGTTGCTTTGTCCACTCGTCCATTCTGCTGTTGGGCATCCCTGGGGAATAGTCTCTCAAAGTGGCCTCAAGTCCTAAACTGGTGTGACAATCCTGCTAACCTTGGCCAGAGGTGGGGCCAGGAGGGGTGTGGGCAGCGACTTCCCTCATTCTTCTCAGCCCTGGCCCGGTTCCCCTGACCCTGCCTGCAGGGGACACGGAGCAGAAGTCTCACTCTCTTGAATAGGAAGCGGCCATCAGTACCGATCAGTACCGGGGGCCACGGCGTCCCAGCGGGTGGGTGAGTGGCAGCGCCTTAGGGAGGAGTCGACTGGCAGGGCCGCTCCAGGCGCAGCCGAACCTGCGGCGACAGACGATTCTTGTCCGAACTTGTCCCACGTCCTGGCCTTTCGGACCCCTCCTGCGCGGGCTGCGTGACCGTGGCCGGCGGGCAGGCCGGCCACCGCGCTGGGTCACTGGTACTGCAGGTAGTTTTTGAGAGACTGCGGCAGCGGCAGGGACCCGATGTCCTGCAGGCGCCGGCGGCCCAGGGCGGCGCGGATGGATCTCCGGCACAGGTCCATGAGTGGCAGGGGCTCGGCTGCAACGAGAGGGCAGAGGTGAGAGGCAGAGGTCAGAGCCCAGCGCAGCTCCCCGCGCTGCCCAGCCCCGCCCCTGCGCTGGCCGTCGGGGTCCAGCGAGCTGGAGACCGCGACGGTGTGGATCCAACTTGAACGAAGCCCACGAACAAAGGAGCATGGAACCACCTCAACAGGGGTGACTCATGCTATTTAAAAAACAAAAAGAAAGAAAAAGAGGAGAGAGAGGGGGGGAGAGAGAGAGAGGGAAAGAGAGGGAGAAAAGAAAACAAGGAGGAAGAAAGGAAAGACCCAGTGCCCATGGCAGGGGTGACTGGAGTTCCATGAGCGCGCTTTGGAGCAGGCGCTGAGCGTGTCCTGACTCTGCGTAAAGACGCCCCTGACTGCAGAGGGGGACAGAGAACGGCCTTGGCTGGGTCTGCAGCCCGGCTTCCTCCAGAAGCCGGTCAGGCCGTGGGCACAGCAGTCCCTGATACTCAGAGTGTCCCTTCAGACCCCATCTCCAAATAAATAAATAAAGTTAAATTAAAAAGATCAATTTCCGGGCTGGGGATGTGGCTCAAGCAGTAGCGCGCTCGCCTGGCATATGCCGCGCGGGGCGCTGGGTTCCATCCTCAGCACCACATAAAAATAAAAAACAAAGATGTTGTGTCCATCTAAAAAAAAATAAGTAAAAAATAAATATTAAAAAAAAAGATCAATTTCCCCTATCGCTGGCTGACAGGGGAGGGGCGCGTCGTCTCATTTTCCTCTTAACAACTGGTTCTGGAAAAATTAATACACGCAAATCCATAAGTGACAGAACCTTTGGACAGAGGACCAATGACACCAAGTTGGGGCTTACTGCCGCACCTGGATTGGGCACTCCCTCTCTTCCAGGCCCTCTAACTGGCCCTGGGGATATGGAGATGACCAAGACAGGGCTCAGGCAGCCCTGGAGGTAAGGGAGGGCGCCCATCCGGGATTTAAACAGGGGAAGGGTTTTGACAGAGGGCAATATTCCTAAATGCACAGGGCAGAAATGGGGGGCACTTCCTGGGTGGAGGCAGCTCTACTGGAAACTTCCAAGAGAAGACATCTGAACGGGGTTTTGAAGGGTGGATAGGAGTTGCGAGCACATGGAGGTAGGAAGGTGGTCAGCAGACAGAACAGGCAAAGGCCCAGGGGCAGAGAATGGGAGAGGCTGTGGGGATAGGGACAGTGCTGGCCAGCAGGCACTGGCTGGATGGGGAGTGAAGATGGTCTCCTGCTGTCCCCTGTGGCTTGCACAGGCCTCATTTTCCTGCACCCCAAGAACATGCCCGAGGCTTGAACCTGCATCTTAACAATTGTTTGGTAACAGAATAAGTGATATTTTAAAAATATTCCAAGTGATATTTTAAAAGCATTCAAACCGTAAGCAGTGAGCACCAACTCAGGAGTTATCACAGGAATAAATGATACCACAGGGGACAGGAATGTGGTCAAGAGCATGGTTCACAGGGACTTTCATTGACTAGAGCCACAGAGGTTAGAGGGGAGCTGTCAGGATTGAGGTGGGACTTGGTGCTGCGACAGAAGCCACACACCCTACATTCAGCTCCCCTCAACTGGAGCAAAGACCCCAAGTCCTAGAGGCTTCAAACACTATCATTTCTCTCTCTTTTTCTCTTTTTGCAGTACTGGGAATTAAATCCAGTGACACTCTACCATTGAGCCACGACCCCAGTCCTTTTTATTTTTTGAGACGGGATCTCGGTTGCTGAGGGCCTCGCTTATTTGCTGAGGCTGGCCTCAAACTTGCGATCCTCCTGCCTCAGCCTCCCGAGAGGCTGGGATTACAGGTGTGCATCACTGTGCCAGCCTAACTTCTTTTGCTCCTCATACAACAAGAGATTAGTCAGGGGATCTGGGCATGCTCTCTTTCCAGACCCAGAGGCCCACTGCTCACCCCAGCCACAGGGTCAGTGCCCAGGCCCCCTCACCCCTCACTCAGAGCATCCCCATCTCTCCTCCAGCAATATCACTGTTCCCTGCCCCCACCATGGCTCCAGAACAAATTTTGCAGTGCCCCTGCCAATCAAGCCCCTGTGGGCCCCTCCCTTCCCCTGACTGAGTCCTGTGTTCAACATCTTGCCAGGAGCTGATCCTCCCTGCCGCAAGTCCCACCATCTCCTTTTGGTTCCTGCAGCCCCAGTGTCTGCTGTGTGCTGCTGGGTGTTGGGGAAATAAGAAAACCAGCCAGTGCTTATTTAATGAGCAGCTACTTCTTACTAGGCAGCATGAAGGAGGAAAGATACTTGTAGCTGTCTTTACTGAAGGCTTATCAAGTGACCAGGCACTTTACAAAGCTCTTTATTTATACCAACTCACACACATGTACATACCAGACTCATCACAATAACCCCTTGGGGTTGGAACAATTACCCCATTTTAAGGGGGATGATGCAGAAACAGAGAGAGAGTGAGCCACCTGCTTAAGGATGCACAGCCAGGAGTTGAATCCAGACAAATGGAAAGTGGAACTTGTGTTATTTCTTAACTGCATTTATTGAGTGCCTGTTCTGTCCCCATTGCTATGCTAGGTTTGTCTCGTTGAGGTCTCAAAACAATCCTGTAAGGTTAATGTGACCGGTTCATTCCTGCTTTACAGAGAGGAAACTGAGGCTCAGAGAGGTAGGGAGGCTTGTCCAGAGCTGCACAGCCTACATTTGGAGGCGCACACCAGGCAATTATAGAAGGAGGCCTCGATGAAGGAGGGTCGATCACCTGTGTCCTGGGCTCCTGGCAGACTGTGACACAACTCCCAGCCTCACTGTCCAGCTCTGGCCACTTTCCGGACCACCACGCCCCCCTGTCCTGAATTACTGCACAGAGCCCAGTCAGGGTAGCGGTCTGCTGTCCCTCCAGGTGGACATGAAGTGCATGTCTCCATCTGACAGGACCCCAGCCAGCCATGAGGGGAGGGAACCCCCGGCAGGTGGGGACATGGGGAGCCCACACAATGCCGGGGGAACGTAAAGGGCATTTTGTGCAACTCTTGTGTAGAGTTCAAAAGTGGGGTGACAGACTTAGGGCAGGAGCCCCTGGGGAGCAGTGTGGGGAGGGCCTGGACCTGCCCCTTGACTCCAATCTGGGAACACCCCTGGGTCTGGTTTGTGGACACCACGAAGCAGCAGCCTTAAGATCTGTGCGCTCTTCACGCCAGACTTCAAAACAAACTCAGTCAACAGCCTCGTCCACTGAGTGCCTCGACCTGGAATCCCCTCCACTTCCATCTGGGTGGCCAGAGACGGCCAGCGCCTCTCAGAGCCTCGTGCTTCTCATCCGTAAAATGGGACAGCAACACCTCCATCCGTGGGCCGTGGTGACCGCGGTGTGACCCAGCAGGCACCAGGCTTCATCTCAGGCCACCAGCCCAAGAGGTGCCCTTAAAAAATGGTCATGGTTCCTTACTGTGTTTCTAAAACGCCTCCGATGTGTCACCCTAATTGAAAACAAGGTTCTGCTCTTGATGAAGATTTCTTGGAGCCAGGGCCGGATGTCTGGTCCTGTGCTGAGAATGTCACAAGGCCATCATGTCCCAAGTTCTTGGGTGACCTGAATTCTCCTTAGTCTTACTCCACTAACCCCTCGCACAACCCCGGGCGAACCACCCAGGACTTCCAAGGCCTCTGCTTTGCCATCCATGAAATGGGGGGTCAGCTCATGTGGCTAGAATGTCTGCAGCTGTGATGGCCTCCCGTGTCCCCAGGCCCTCTGAGGGCTTCCTGCCTGCCATGGGGTGAGCCAAGATATGAGGCACCCCACTCCCCTCACCCTCATATTCACATTTTGAAAACAGATCCACCTTCTTAAGGTCCAAATGTGAAATTCCCCGGTGGGGATTTTGGACAAGCGTCAGCAGATGGGAAGGGAGTTGAGTGACAGCTTTGGAACAGGGACTCAGCTGACCTGGGCACTGCGTGTTTTGAGGAACATAAGTGAGAAGACACACGCGGTCCTCACACACACACTGCGCGTCAGAAGCGCTGCTCTCTTATCCACAGACCTGGTGTCCACGACTGAGGATTCAGAGGGCTGCTCCCCAGCCCCGGCCCATCTGCTGTTCCTTTTGCCTAGAACGCCCTCCCTGCACTTCCTGCCAGGGGCACACCTTGTCTCGAATCAAGTGCCACTTCCTCCCCGGGTGACTTGGCTCCTCTGTCCTCTGGGTCTACCCGTCCCGTGTCAACCCAGCTGTTTAATCATGCAAACGGGCAGGTGCATCATTAGCTGCAATAAGGCTATTTCTCAAATACCGCATTCCTGGTCCGGCGGCCCTGGCGCGGCCAGCGGAGACCCCCACTGGCGTCTAGAGAGCACTTGGAATGTGAGCGTCTTCCCGGGACAAGCTTCTCTGTTCCCCAGCAAAATGGTCTAGGAGTCCTCCGAGGCCGCAGCGTCTTCGCATGACCTGCGAGCCAGCGAGCGTCATGGGCACAGATGGTGCCCGGCCCAGGAGGGGCTGTCACTCCTGCCTGGAAAGAGGGCTCTGAGCTCCTCCGTGTGCACGGAGGAGTGTCCAGGGGAAAAGAGCCCTAAATAACGCACAGCCTCCCAGCGCCGCTGCAGAGAGGGGCGTGGGAAACCCCAAGGTAGGGCCCAGAACAGCGAGCGCTTGAACATGTCCCCAGAGTTCTCCACCCAACCGTGTGGCCTGTTTGACAGACAGTGGCAGTGGGCTCAAGGGAGCAGCCAGGACCTGCACCTGTACCCCTGACACCCGGCATCTCCCTGGAATGAAGGGAAGGTGTGCGCATGCCTAATGGAGGCGCTTGGCAGGCCAGTAACTGCTTCAATTCCAGGGGGGCAGGAAGCAGGTGAGATAGGAAGGTGGAGCACGTCCACCAGGGTGAGCACGGTCCCCCCTTCCAGGAGCCCAGAGAAGCTCCAAGCTCCATGGAGCAAACACTGGGGTGACAGCCAAGGAACTGTAATCCCAACACCGGGGGCACCCGTGTTGCCATCTCTGCCCCTGCAG